CCGTGGAAACCCCCCTCAGTCCAGCCCGACTTTCTTATTGCTACCCTACTTCTGCGGTGCTCAGGAGGAGGAAGTGCAGCGAGAAATCATCAAGCAGGAGGAGAGCGTCGACCCAGACTACTGGGAGAAGCTGCTGCGGCACCACTATGAGCAGCAGCAGGAGGACCTGGCCAGAAACCTGGGCAAAGGCAAACGCATCCGCAAGCAGGTCAACTACAACGACGGGTCACAGGAAGACAGAGGTAGGCCTTTTTTCTTTTAATTCTCTGAGCTTGAGTTACATTTCAGTAGGCCTCTCATTGATTGAAAATATATTTTTGTTATTTTTTTTCTTGAAGCTGATTGGCAGGACGACCAGTCTGATGGACAGTCGGATTACTCTGTGGCGTCTGAGGAAGGGGATGAAGACTTTGATGAGAGATCAGAGGGTAAGAATCTAAAAACTTGCAATATAGGTTTTTCCAGGCACAACTCTTAACAAGCTCACTCACAGGAAATTAAAATATGATGTGTTATTCAGCTGATTGGTTGTGGAGTCTTCAGTATCTCTGTTTTCTTTTCTGCAGCCAACTCTCGCAGGCCCAACAGGAAGGGCCTGAGGAACGACAAGGACAAACCACTGCCCCCCCTGCTGGCCAGGGTTGGAGGCAACATTGAGGTGAGCCGCTCTTCTTTAGACTGTTTGAATCCTACAAACATTTCAAAAAGCAACACAGCGACTGGTTTTAGAAATCCAACAGAAAGCACCTGAGTGAAATCTGAGCCTCCTGCTGTTTTCCAGGTGTTGGGTTTCAATTCTCGGCAGAGGAAGGCCTTCCTGAACGCAGTGATGCGTTATGGGATGCCTCCGCAGGACGCCTTCACCACCCAGTGGCTGGTCCGAGACCTGCGGGGGAAATCTGAGAAAGAATTCAAGTAAGTTACTTTTTTTTTTTTTTCTTTTTCTGTTGAACATGAAGAGCGAAGGACATTTTCTCAGATCTGGTTTTTCCTCCCTCTGCAGGGCTTACGTCTCTCTGTTCATGCGCCACCTGTGCGAACCCGGAGCAGACGGAGCTGAGACTTTCGCAGATGGCGTCCCCAGAGAAGGGTTGTCCCGGCAACATGTCCTCACACGCATCGGCGTCATGTCACTTATACGCAAAAAAGTATGTTTTTGGTTTGATTATTAATGGAGTAATTAACATGGATATTTCACCCCAATAAGGCAGCAGCTGGTTTTAGTTGAGAAAATTAAGAATAATTTTAATATATAGAGCACGATTCAAGCAGCTGTACGAGCTGGGACAGGACAAAAAGAAACGTATATATTGATATAATCTTTTTTTAAGGTAAGACTATTAAGCAAACCATTTACAGCCAGATATCTCTACCTGGAGACATCCGTCTTCACCAACTCAATGAAGAACCTTGAATAATATGAGTTACAACATTTCTTATTTTTTATCAAACTCCATGACAAATATTCAAAGCATCTAAGTGCTAACAAGAAATCTGCATATGTCATTCCACTGCAGTCAATACAGTGATAAAGGTTGCAAAAATTTAATTTTTTATTTTTTCCACTGACGTCATCAAGTCGAAAGGCCTGATATACTTTTTATTGTTGAGACTCATTTAGTCTGTAAACCTTGAAAAGTAGAAATTGATGGCAGATGTGCTTGTTGATAACTGCATCATCAGCATAAAAATGAAAATCTGAAACAGTTACATTTCTGTTGAAGTAAATGAAAAAGTCCTAAGTCAACCCCCTGAGGGACACCATTAGCTACAGTGGGTGGCCTACAGTGACCACAGCATCACGGACTTTCTACAGTACCAAATTAATAGTGGACATGTTATTTTATACCATTCCCACCTTCAAATCTAACTCTTTGAGTAAAAGAGCACTGAGCACCTCTGCGTGTTTCTTTATGTGGATTTTCCCCCCCCTATTAAATAACTGAAAAATCCATCCTGTAAATTGTAACCAAAGCTCTGACCGGATGGCGTCTCTTTACCTTCCAGGTCCAGGAGTTTGAGCACGTCAACGGTCAGTGGTCCATGCCCTGGATGGCCGACCTGGAGGAGAACAAGAGGGCCGCGGCTCAGCCGGACTCTCCAGGGAAAACCCCGTCCACCGGGACCCCCGCCGACACACAGCCCAACACTCCTGCTCCAGGTACCAGCTTAGCCTCCGAGGTGAAGATGTTTCTGTTGAGGGTGTGGAGGAAAACAAATCCAATGTAACGCGAGTGTCTGTTTCTAGCTGATGACTCGGTGAAGAATGACGAGGCATCAAAGGATGGAGAGAAAGACGCAAAGAAAGAAGGCGAGGCAGATAAAAACGGCAAAGAGCCAGCTAAGGCCAGCAGCGAGGTAAAGAATTTAAGAAGAAGGTAGGGTTTGAAAAAATGTGCAAAGACTTGAATCTGATTTATCCATGATGCCGACAGGTTATCGCCATCCCGGACGACGATGAGAAGGTCCCTGTGGAGACGCAGGATAAGAAAAACGGCGAGGAGCCGATGGAGACGGACAAACCGAGCAACGGCGAAGCGGAGAGCGCAAAAGAAAAGGAAGGAGAGGAAGGAGAGGGAGAGAAAAAGAGCGCAGAGGGAAGAGAGGAAGACAAACCAGCTGTAGATGAAAAGACGGAGCCGTCAGAAGTCAAACCTGAGGAGCCTGAAGTCAAAGGTGAGATTTTCAAGGCTTTTTTTTTGTTCTTAAATTTGCAAAGAATGTTTTTTTTGTGCAACATTTCTAAAAGCCGTTTGCTTGTGCTAGCTCTGCTGCAGTCTTAATAAAGTTTGTTCTAATTAATGTTTTCATCCTACAGGAGAGGAAAAGAAGGAAGAGAAGCCTGAAAAGATGGACACCACTCCTCCTGCAGAAGAAAAGAAAGGTAACTTTTGTAGATTTAACCTGTTAAGTGCCAGCTCTGATATGACGTCTGGTGGTGACTCTTCTGTTTTTGTTTTGTTTTTTTTCTTTTGAAGACGTGAAGGAGGAGAAAGAAACTCCAAAACCAGAGGAGGCGGCCAAGCTGCAGAACGGAGACGGCAGCAAAGAGGGCGTGGCTACGGCGGCAGCGGCAGCTTCCACCGCCAGCGGCGTGAGCGAGGAGAAGAAGAAAGCCAAAACCCGATTCATGTTCAACATCGCAGATGGAGGATTCACAGGTACGAACACAGACAGGAAGTCGGGTTAGTTTCAGGATTCTGTTCCAAATCACTAACGGCTCCTTTTCCTTTAGAGCTGCACTCTTTATGGCAGAACGAGGAGCGCGCCGCCACGGTTACCAAGAAAACCAATGAGATCTGGCACCGTCGCCATGACTACTGGCTGCTGGCCGGCATCATACAGTATCCTTTTCCGACCGGAGTGATCCTGGACTCCGTTATGTCGATGTAGTTTTACCGGAGGCCGCCCTGGTTGGACGTTTGTTCCCCTGACCGCTGATCCCTCCAGACACGGCTACGCCCGCTGGCAGGACATCCAGAACGACGTGAGGTTTGCCATCCTCAACGAGCCGTTCAAAGGGGAGATGAACAGGGGCAACTTTCTGGAAATCAAGAACAAGTTCCTGGCCCGAAGGTTCAAGGTAGCAAATATTTTACACATGCAATACCTAAAGAAAAAATATCTGAGGTTATAAATTTCTATCAATCATAATTCCATCCATCCAAGTTTCATAATGTTTGAACATTATCTGTCCATCCATTGATGTGTATGATTTTCATCATTGTCTGTTTTTTCTTTCTTCTCCATCTATACATTCTGTCCATACATCCATTCATCTTTTTTTTTTCATTCATCGATTTTTCTGTTATTGCATCTGTTGTACTTCTTTTTCATTCTTTCATCTTTTTACCCTTTTCCTTTGCTTTCTTTTGCACTTTAATTTTTTCTTTCTTTCACTATTTTTTCTGCTTTCCCTTCTTTCCTTTTATTCTGCTCTCTCCCTCTTTCTGCTTTCTTTCACTCCATTTATTTCATTCACTCTTTTGTTTTTCTTCTGCTCTTTCTTTCTTCCACCAAACCATATATCCTTTTCTTTTGTCTGTTATCCATTGATCCATACATTCACTTTTCCAACTTTGATTCATTAAATTTTTTTTAACCAATCACTTTATTTATCTGTATATTTATATTTAATCAAACACAAAGAGCAGGAACATTGTAAGTATTTTAAAAGATGCACCTTTCTGTCTCATCTCCAGCTGTTGGAGCAGGCGCTGGTGATCGAGGAACAGCTGCGTCGCGCCGCCTACCTCAACATGTCAGAGGATCCCTCTCACCCCTCCATGGCCCTGAACACCCGCTTCAGCGAGGTGGAGTGTCTGGCCGAGTCCCACCAGCACTTAAGCAAGGAGTCCATGTCCGGGAACAAACCGGCCAACGCCGTCCTGCACAAAGGTACAACCGACGCTCCACAAAGATCTGACTAAATGGCACCAGTTTTTTTTTTTTTTTTTATAGTTTTATAAATGATTTATATTTTATAAATATTAATGCTTTCTGTGTTTTCAGTGCTAAAGCAGTTGGAAGAGCTGCTGAGTGACATGAAGGCGGACGTGACCCGCCTCCCAGCAACCATCGCCCGGATACCGCCGGTTGCTGTCCGACTCCAGATGTCTGAGAGGAACATCCTGAGCCGCCTAGCGAGCCGAGGACCAGAAACACAGACGCAGACGCAGCAGGTAGCAGGATAGAAGTTTAATTTAGTTTGTTTGCTTCAAAGCTGAATTAGCTGAAATGATTTGTTTGTTTTGTGATGTATTGTGCAGCAGATGCCGCAGCAGTAGACTGAAAATCGTCTCTAACCTCAAGAACCACCCCCTGCCTCACATCAACATTCCTGATTGGTGCACAGCAGAACGAGTCGCCGTGCTCCGAGCTTGAAGCCACGTCCTGTTCACTTTTCACCCCCAAAATGGACTTTACAGAGTTTCTCTGGAGGATCAGATCTCCTCCCTGTCCCAAAAAATGAGGCTGTGGACAGAAGTTTTTTTTTAAAGTATTTTCCGCCTTTTTTTTTTTTTTTTTTTTTTCAATTTCTTTATTAATATTATTGATATAATGTTATTATGATGGTTTTTTTGGGACCTAAATAAAAAAATGTAATAAAGTTTTTTGTTTGGTTTTGATGGCTGAAATAAAATAAGAAAAAGAAATAGTACTTAGCTTTAAAATATCACTTTGCTTACTGTTCAGGAATTTAGCAAAAACAGTTAATTTTGGTAATCTGAGTTGATCAAAAACAGTATTAAAAAAATAACCTCAACTTTACATGATGAAACTCAAGTTTGGTACAAAACATCCTAGTAGAGAAAAGACAATTGAAAGCAAATACTAATTTATTAGAATTTTCTCGAAGTGTCAAGCAGCCAGTCTGGAATTAAACGTATTCATTTCAACGGTACATAGCATAAATGAGTGTTTTCATCCATGAAAATTCAACAAAAAAAAGTTCTGGGAACTAATGTGTTGCACATCCAAAGCATGGAAACTACAAGTCGACTCACAACACAGAAGTTAAACACAGGACGGGTGAAAGCAAACAGAAAACGGTTCAAACAGAAGTTGGGTTGTTTAAAATCAGTAGCAGCACCAACAGAGTGACACTGACGTACAGCAAGGGCTCGGAGTTTCAGCCATGTTTTAACAGCGTATACAGCAATATATTTTAGGTGTGGCTGTCTTTTAGTGTTCCTTAAAAATAACCCATATGATGTATATAGATGTTAGTCTTACCAGGTGCACAACTTGATTTCTTTGTAATATAATAGGAGTAAAATTCTAATCTACAATCGGCCACAAACACTCTGCTTCTCTTATCAGTGGTTCTCTTTGGCTCAACACACAAAACATGACATTTTTCACATAATTTCAATAGGCAAGGACTGGAAGGACATTTATGTCAATGACATGCTGTGATTCTGCTGCACCTTAATGCTCAAAGCTGCTTCAGAATTCAAAAAGCTTGACATAATTTTGACCATGTCAATTATTTATAAAACTACTAAGTAGTTATTGTATGACAGTGGCTTCTGTGAAATAAAGGTTACAGCTCCAAATACTCTTGAAAGAGGCAGAAGGAACTCCACTGATTCGTGACTGAATCCAAAACATGAAGCTGCCAGCTTCAGGAAGTGATGCGATTTAGATAAAACAGAGGTTACGTCACGTTGGCTAATTTTTCTGTCATGAATCTTAAATCCATAAACCTTTCTGACTTTCTACAACTCACCCAAACAAAACCAACTGATTATAGTGACCCTTTGTTTTAATCTGTAAACCTGCTCATTGCAAAGAGGACAGGAGGAGCACATTAAAGGCCATGCATAGAGGTCGCTGAGGAAGAGGAGGCGCACTGAGGAAAGACTCGGTTTGGTGCGGTAGCGTTCGTTGGTGCAGACTCGTCCTGGGACTTGCATCTCCATTCTTGAAAAGCAGCTCAGTAGAAGAAATATACTAAATATAGAGAACAGGAAAGAAACACTTACATTGGTAAGAGATTTCCAATATAGAGCAGAAATTATTTTCTTACAAAAAAATAATAAAAATTCATTGCCAAAGAAATGCAAAGAATATTCCTCATGCTCTGGAAGCAAAGGTGGCATAGCGCTCTGATACGGACAAAAAAATGCAATGTGTACGTATTATTTTTATGGTGCCTTGAAAATGTTTTGATAACATTTGAACTTTTAACATTTTCTCACATTACAACCAAATTTTAAAGTATGTCAGTGAGATTTTATGAGGTAAAGCAACACAAAACGGTGCACTTCTGAAGTAGAAGAAAAAAGATCATTCTGAGCAAGTCCCCAAAAAAATGCATTTATGAAAAGATTAAATTACGCACAGCTTGACATTTTCATTTAAGTGTATCATAATAAAGGAGAATACAAATACACTAGATGTTTATTTATTCAAAAATCTTTAAAGTCATATTTTTCTCTTTCAAAGTTATACACAATTTTATTTGGAAATACACTGAAGATTAAAGTTGTAAAATGTTTATGCATTAAAACTTTGAACATTTTATGAACAAAACAAACACTGTTTGGCCTCTGATGGCTCATTTGTGTCCAATATAAATTAAACATCAGTTTTTTTTGTTTGTTTACATTGTACAGTGATTTGCGTTATTGTAATACAATAACTGAGTCGAAGTGATTTTTTCATTGTGTTATACTTACAGAAGACGACGCCGACACATATAACTCCTATAACCGCCATCATGATCATCATCTGGCAACAAAAACAACAGCAGCACTTTTTAGGTCAAGTGGGATTTTGGTTCTGTTTTGGACATACAGGAAGTAATAGAAACTGAAAATTGAGCATGCCAAAAATATAAACAAACGTGACACAAGATGTTAGGAAGTTTGTATTTGATTGATTTGTTCTTTGTTTTTCCATTGGCCCCTAAAAGTGCTTAGACAGGATTCCAGCTGTTGCAGAATCTAATGTAAATATATCTGCATTGAGGCTGCATGCAGTGATCACAAACATTTCTTCACTTTTTTCCCCCCAAATGTATAAATATAAATGTTGTTCAATGCATGAAACAAAGACATTGACAGGAAATCACATCCCCTCTGAGAGGGGGAGGGCTGAAAGAGATTAATAAATACAAGAGCATGGAAAGAGAGACGGGTGTCAACGTGATACTAGGGCTCGCAGTGTGTGTGTATAAAGGTTTGTAAATAACACACCCTACTTTGAAAGTGGTGAAATCTAAAGCTCAATGAAAACCTTCAATCTGTTATAACCTAATATGTTGTACTTATTGAGACATTATTACATCAGTGGAGGTTCTCATGACCGAAGCCGAGTCCGAATGTTGGAGAGGAGGAGTTACGTCACAGATCACAGCTGGCTCTCTAATCCCAGGCCGTCACTGTAATCCAGATTGAGATTTTCCTTCCTCTCTTTCTGGCTTCCCCGTCAGTCTAACAGACTGACAATGGCAGAGCGAATCTGCCTTCACTCTGCCACGGATTGGGCCAAACGAACCGCACAGAATGAGGCGGAGCCCAGCGGCCGGAAACCAGGTCCAATAAAAGTGGATGAATAAATGGAAGGATGGATAAACGGTGTGGACGGATGGTGATGGGAGAGCAGAAATGGCAGCTGGGAAGTGTTTCTATTTTTATTCAGGGTGATATTCCAAACTTCAGCGACATTTTTACACCATCTGAGGAAGATGTTTTTATAAAACTTAACAATAGCGCCTGCTTTATGTTAACGAGGATTATAAAATTGTAGCCAGGTTTGCGCAACAAATTTGTTTTTGATAAGTAACTTGGTTTAGTTTGTCTAGAATCACCACAAATGTAGAGACACGATGAGGTTGTTGAGACTGGACATAGGAAAGTAATAAAAAAATGACCTTAAATCTCATTCTTCTGAATCAGAAAACAAAGTATTGAGATTCAATTTTTCTTTTTTATTTTAATCATATTGTCTGTTAATCAAACTTTGTCTGATTCTGCATTTATGTCAAATTAATTATTTTTGTTTTAACCTATGACATATTACTGTTACACTGCTATTTTAGACATTTTCAGATTGTAACAATAAAATACGGCTATTTAAAATATGTTTTTCATGATATCATGGTGTTATGGTGAACAGTTATTTTAAATACCTGAAATGCTACCGTTGTTTTAAACCAAACATGATTTGTGTGGCAGGTACATGATGAGGGGAACTCTTGAATCCTTCTCACCTTGCAGTTTTTCCACCAGTACTTGTTCTTGAGCTTGGCGGCGCTGCTCTCGAACTGCGAGGCTCCGGCCTGCAAGGCGTCGGCCCGGTCGTCGAGTTCTGACAGCTTCTGGTCTCTCTCCAGGACTTTGTCCACATTCACACGCATGATGTCCACCACCTGAGGGACAAACACACCTGTCAGAGTCTGTCTCAGACTGAGCTCAAATACGTCAGAGAAAAGCCAAGCAGATACAAGTTTTTAAATACCAGTTTTCACATTTTATGATACACCTGCAGTTTTATACTTGATGGTATATTTGGGTTCTTGTAATGAGGAAAACAGCACATTAACAACCTTTAAATGTGTGTTTGCTCACCTCGTCCACCTGAGCCTGCGTCTGCTGCAGCCGTCTGTTGCTGGTCAGGTTTGGGGCCGGAGCCGGAGGGCCTCCCTCACCTTCCGGACCCCCTGGAGCTCCAGGAGTGCCTGCTGCATCTGGAGTCGACCTGCGGTGAAAATGATGAAGATCAGAGATGATGAGTTTTCTTAAACAATCTTTTCAGAAGCAGAGATGTCTTTGGTAAAAACATCACAAAATGAGTAAAGATTTAGCTGGTCTCAACCTCTTACAAACCAGAACTGAACAAATTTGAGTGCAAGCATTTCATAAAAGCCGCCAGCAGATCTACTTGCATACATTTCAAATAATAAAGAGTGAATTAAGTGGAGCGTATGACTCTTAATGAGTTAAAAGTAATCAAATTATGACCCACATAAGAAGACAATCAGGGTAAAGTTTTAAAGGCTAACAGATTCACTAAATCTGTTTCCTTAGAAAACAAAAGTAGACCACCATAAACAAGCAGATAAACTATCATTTCAGTTTGGTGCAGATTAAATGAGTCACATGAAGAAGACTATGGGAAGAAAACAAGCATTAATTATATAAATTAGGCAATATAGAGCCCTTTTCCCTCAATGGAAAAGGTTTGGTGAACACAAAGCATGAGAAGATTATTTATATTGCACCACTCATTAAAGATTTTTTTTTAATAGAAAAGATAATATTTCAAACACTTAAAAGCATTGCATTCCAAAAAACTAATGTAATAATGAAAATGTATGACGTCAAACTAATGTAATAATGAAAATGTATGACGTCAAACTAATGTAATAATGAAAATGTATGACGTCAACTCAATGACTGAAGTGATTTATTTCCTCCATTTGACGTCACTCAGCAGGGTGAAGGTGGAGAAATACTTTAAGTGTCCAACTTCCTTTTTCTTTTTTAGGTGAGATCCCTATTTATTTACAGCTCTGGTTGCAGTTTAAATTGATTGTTTATATAAAATGGAATGGTGATTAATTTCATGTCCAAAAATATTATTAAATGCAAAAAATGTATAGTCATTGTGTGACAAGTGGTCAAAGCAGAGTCACCCACCACCCAATCAGAATTAGACATGATGCATCACTAAAGGACACAACCTACATGCTACCTGATGTAGCCCATCACCATCACCAGCAGTGAAATACAAAGTGCAGAATCATGTAAATCACAAAATAACCAAATGGCCTCAATAATGAGATTGTCTGCAAACACAACACAAATCACAATTAGAGTTTATGGCACCCACTAATGATAAAAAGTTTCATGTGAAAATTCGTTGTTTGAAACTTGGATGAAAATTTGCTGAGATCTAAACTAACCTCTCCAAGACAGTAATTTTCAGTAAAGCCAAATAAAGGATTTAAATCTGGGAGCTTCTCATTGCAAAGCTGCAAGTTCTCCACCGTGGAACCCTGATTTTATTTGGTTTCGTTTTGATATGATTTTTCGAGCAAAGCTTTAAATTCAGCACCTGCATACATGCTTCTTCGAAGTGGATTCATATTATATTAAATCAGTATTTTCTCACTGCTTTTAAGTAAATATGGACAAAAAAAAATCAGTTTTATGGAAGCATAACTCATCCAACTTTAACTTTATCTATATAACCAACATATAAGGCGAGGTTGTCGAAAAGTTGTAGTTTCAAATTCATGTCAAAGTTTTTGACCTGGTGAGGTTTTTGAAGTTTCAGTCAGACATACTTAGCAGAATCACACTAACCAGAGTTGCTGCTATGCTCTAACAGTGAGGCTTGTTTTCCAGAAGCAAAATGGAGAAAGATTTGTGCAGCAGCAGCCTCCCTGCCTGACTGATGGAGATCAACATGCAGGAATTAAAAATCGGCCGTCCCCTCCCCCAGAGGAAAAAAACCCAACAGATAGAATGTTTTTCTATTCAATAGAAGTCCCAAATCGCTTATGATCCATTGTTTTAGTCTGAATTGACTCAGTGAGTTTTGTCTGGCTCTTTGAACAGCACAGTTTCATTTGTTTTGTTAAAAAAAAAGCAGCTGATGCAAAGTGTACCAGCACAGATGAGCTTTTCCCAATCGCAGCTGATGAAGTTTTTTTTTTATTTTTTTTTTTTAGGTGAGTCAGCCGGTGAGTCACGGTCAGACTCCTGCAGGGTCGAAGAGCTGCACCCCAGAAATTTCCAGATGCTTTCAAACTTAGTTTCGGATAAAATAAATAAAACCACAAAACTAACTTTATAAAGAGTAAAACTGTTTTCTTTTTCGGATTATGTATGAATTATACACTAAACTAAATTAAGGTTCCGAAAACAGAACCCGGATAGTCATATATGACAGGTTTAAAATAAAACAGAGTACTCACATCTCAGCGGCAGGACGATGAGGATTATCTGAGAGACGGGCTGATGAAGAGTGAGGGTGATGAGAGCAGAGAGAGTGATCCCTGCTGGTTAAATGCAAAAAAATAAAAAATAAAAAAATGGAGTATGACTTCTGGTTTCCTTTTTAGCTGATGTCTCAATTCACCTTTTCGTTTTGTTTTCTTTTCTTTACTCAGACTGAAGAAAGAAAAACACTATTGCGCAGATGAAAGAAACCAAAATATGTCCGTCATGTAAAAGCCCCGCCCCTAAAAGTGCGCGCGCGCGCACACACACAAATACGCGCACAGCGTCTCCGTTAGAGGCTATAATACCAGACAGTAACACTAAATACAGTTGGTTGGCTTTTATTGCGTATGAGTGTAGCTTATACAATTAAGTTATAACTTAATTGCTTAATATATCATTTTTCAGTTGATTGGTTTCAGTCATGATTTTCTTTAGCTAGAAATCAAAAGACTTTTGGGGGAAAACATGTTATTCTCAAACTACAAATGTAGTTGTTCTGACCGCTAGAGGTCGCAAAGACAACCCTCAAGAACAACAGATCCTTGACTGTGGGGATTTTATTTTTTGCTAAAACTACTATTAAATTGTGACTAAATAATCAGAATATGTAAAAAAAAAAAAAAAAAAAAAAAAAAAAAAAAGTAAATAGAGTTTATAATGCAAATACCGTTTAAAGCATTTACCCCAAACACTGACAGTTAACTGACCGTAACTTGAAATATGTAACCCAAGCATAATTATGGATGATAATCCAATGGGTTAAGTGTTAGCTATAGTTAAATGATTAATTCATTTAACTATTTACTAAAAATATTTCGTTTTTACCCCCAACCCTGCTTGGGTAAGACAGAATGGCCAAGGCATGGATGGATTTTCTTTTTAACAATTGCCAAAAATCTGTAGCTATGATTGACTAATGCATATAGTTCTAAAATAAACTATTATTTATCAAGATACTTTATTTTTCAGAGCCTGCACTTCCAAAGACAGAGCTGTCAGGAGGGAATGATCAACCAATCAGAGCCAGTCTTTGATTAAAGTGAGAGGTACTCCACTCCAATGACGAAAAATACATTTGATTTTTCTAAATTATGTCATTTAGACTTAAAAATGACAATTTTTAATATTTTTTTTTCAGTTCTTTTAACACCGAGTTAAAAGAACTCAGTGTTTGTAGGCTGTTTGTCAGCTTAAAATTGAAGTGTATGATGTCATGTAAAAGCACTGCATGGTGATGGCTGAGGTCAACATTGTTTTACACTAAACCCAGGATCTGCAATGTGTTGACACAGCACAGCCGTTTCCTCCATGGCAGCTATTCCTCTCCTGGCTGCTTCTGTGTTTGTTTCTCTTTATTGATCTGAATGAAGTTGTTGGTTTGCAGCTCTCGACCCTCGGCCTTTTGCTCAGCCAAGTAAACTGTGAACAGGAACCAATTACAGTTAAATCATTACAGGAGCAGAAAGACTGGTCAGAAACTAAATCAGTGCAGCTAAAAAAATAAAAGCCCTTTTCTCATGCATCAGGTAATTCTCCTGCAGCTTAACCCAAGTGTGCTTGAGCTTAAGATCATAAAGGCTGAAAAAAGGTAAAGAGGATAATTCATGGTTCATCCACTTATGGGAAGTTGTCCTGCAACCACAACCGCAGACCATCACATCATCACCACCATGTGGACAAGGATACTTCTTTCCAATGCAATTTATTCTGTTCATCTTATTTTGATCAAACACACAGCTCTGCAAATCACAACATAGCCCATGAAAAAAAAAAAATCATTCAAACATTTCATTTCTCAATTTACTCACACATTGAGTTCTATGTTGAGAATCAAACAGCACATGATCTCATTCAGGTAATCAGTTTTTAACCTGAGAGTCTTTTTTTTTTTTAATTTCTCTCGCTAATGATTTGTTTTCTATAACTTGCGGATACTTTGTTTTAGCTTCAACAATAAAGAACCGAAATAAGAGAATTTTTGTACATTTCTTGACTGGAAAAAAAAGGAAGAAATAGCAGACTGACAGAAGCTACCAAGTTGTTGCAGGTGTGTTTGGTACACAAATGTGACCCTTGGGGGGGGGGGGGGGGGGAAAAATAAAAAAAAAAAATGTGTTGGGAAAATCGCAGAGGTAAAAAAAAAAAAATTTTA